ACCTGAACTATGGAACCAATGACTATATTTAAATACAACAAAATCTAATATGATCAAGAAGTGATTTTCTGTTTATATTGATCGAAGTGAGATTGTAGTGGATGGTATTTATGGACATAAGCACACACACACAAAAAAATCAATGTCTTTCTATCTTCCTATCAACTTGACAGGTGTTTCTCTGACTTTATATTTCTTCTAAATGACATGTCCTTTCAGGGCGTAGGCGATCATGGCTCTTCACACGTTCTTTTTCTTTATTATGTGTCGACTGCCATAACTTTATGTGAAAGATAATAGATAAATTTCCCATCATTTTTTTTCACAGTTTTATAATTCAGATGCTTCTTTCGCTTAGATGAGAGCTGGCCAAACCTCGGCTCGCGAGCCACATTCAGCTCGCGAGCCACATGCGGCTCTTTGACCTATAATATGCGGCTCGTGGAAATATGTTGGCTGAGCTCCTTTTTTTCATCACAGTTAATATAAAAGGTAAATGAAAAAATTTCAAACTTCAGAATTATTTACTGGGTATGAATTGAGACCCCATTGGATTAAAACCTAAGTTTAATGTTAATGTGTATGTAACAAAAACGTATGTGTAAAACATGTCTTGCAGCTCTCAAATATCTGAACTTTAGCGTATGTGACTCTTATATTAAACAAGTTTGGCCACCCCTGTCTTAGATTGATTCTAACCCCAAATTAGAGAGCTCAGTCCAAAGGCCTTGCCCGTGAATGTGAATACAACTGGCTAAACTGAACTTTGAATTCAGTGCGGCAATAATAATTACCGTGCCGATAGCTGTTATATTACCTGCACAACCTTAAATGTGTTTATGACTAGATTGTTTTGTCTTCCCTTTTCTCAATTTCTTTTGGTTTTTTTTTTTATCGTTTCACTCCAAGTAAGGCGATAATGCCACTAAGTCACAGGGGGTTTACAGCGAGTGAAAAAGAGAATGAGAAGACTTTCATGAGAAGAATTGAGGAAAAGAATGTAAAGGAACAGGGTTCAGAAAGAAGATGGTGATTGATAGCTGTTTATATTTCTGAAATGAGGTGTTGTAATTGAATATGCCAACGAAAAGGAAGACAACAGTTCGAACAATGTAAATAGTGTATATGATGGAGATTGATGCTGCATTTAATTTTTGAAGACTGTAGGTACCAGGAAAGGAAGAAATTGGAAGGGAGTTCCACGGGTGAGAAATGCGATAAAATAAACTGTTAGAATATAGATGGCGGTTGCATATAACTGACTTCTCTTCTTCTTCTTCTTCTTCTTCTTCTCTCACCTCTTTCATTTTCCCCTTCTCTTCCTACTCTTATTTCTCCTTCACTTCATCTTCTTTTTCTTCTTTTTTTATTCTTTCCTGTATTCTTTTCTTACTCTCTTTTCCTTTCTTCTTCTTCCTCTTCTTCTTATTTTTCCTTAATTTTCTTCTCTGTTCTTCATTCTCTCTTCTTTTTTCCTTCTTCTTTTCCTGCTTTTATTCTTCCCCTATTCTTTTCCCACTCTCTTTTTCATTCATCGTCTTCTCCTTGCTTTCTTTCTTTCTTTCTTTCTTTCATAAATCTCTTGTCTTTACTCTATCCTTTCTTTCTTCCTCTTTTCCTGCTATTATTCCTTACTCTTTTATTTTCCTACTCTTTTTCCATTCTTCTTCTTCTTCTTCTTCTTCTTCTTTATTTTCGAATCCTTTAATCACCAACCACCAACAGCCGTTCTTTTCTCCTTTCGCCGTCATCAGTGACTCTCAGAATCGACGTACAGACGACATGGCACCAGATTTTCCCGCCTTGGCCACAGCGGCCCTCAACTTCGTTGTCATCTTCTCTTAACGCGATCAACACCCAACCCCTTTCGTTCGCCCTTCCTTCCTTCAATCAAAACTGCTTTTCACCTCCGCCCCCGCATTTTCACTGCTTTTTACTCTGTTCTTGACACTCAAACAACGGGAATTAAAACGCGACAGAGCCAAAGAGCGAGATGAAGACGCGAAAGTGAGACAGAGAGAGAAAGATCTTGAAGTAAAAAACAAAAACAGATTGAGTTTAAAAAGATAAACAAAGAATGAAAAATAGTAAATATTAATCGTTGAATATGAACAGGATATACGCATACATACACGTACATATACGTATATTCCCATAGATATACGTATATACACATACATACACGTATACACACATACGTACGCGTATACACATATATACTCGTATATACACATACATACACGTATATACACATACGTACACGTATACACACATACGTACACGTATACACATAGATACACGTATATACACATAGATACACGTATATACACATACGTACACGTATACACATACATACACGTATATACACATACATACACGTATATACACATACGTACACGTATACACATACATACACGTATAAACACATACGTACACGTATACACATACATACATACACGTATATACACATACATACGCGTATATACACATACGTACACGTATACACATACATACACGTATGTACACATACATACACGTATATACACATACGTACACGTATACACATACATACACGTATATGCACATACATACACGTATAAACACATACGTACACGTATACACATACATACACGTATATACACATACATACACGTATATACACATACGTACACGTATACACATACATACACGTATAAACACATACGTACACGTATACACATACATACACGTATATACACATACGCGTATAAACATAAGTACACGTATACACATACATACACGTATAAACACATACGTACACGTATACACATACATACACGTATATACACATACATACACGTATATACACATACGTACACGTATACACATACATACACGTATATACACATACGTACACGTATACACATACATAAACGTATATACACATACATACACGTATATACACATACATACACGTATATACACATGCATACAGGTACACGCAAAAGCACATCAATTAAATCACAAAATATAAAAATGAATAATGAGTGCAAATGTTCTCCATTCGTTACGAGGTTAAGTGGACGCCGTAGAATCTGTCTATTTCCCTAGTACAAGACTCGAGAGCTACTCAAGGTAGAGGTTACGGTGGAAATGTTTAATAGGAATAAAAGGTGGTAGCAAATGGTTATCATAAAGATAAGTAAAAAGATCAAAAATTGACCGTTGAAGAGTTCAAGAATAAATTGTTTCGGGATGCACCCACTTGGAAATCTGCTGCACAAAGTCGCAGGAAAAGCCCCATTGAAACTTTCTTATTACATTTGGAATACGGAGGAAACGAGGCTGATTCGACTCAGTGGAAATAACATGTGTTATAAAGGTCTGAACTGGTGTAATTAAAGAATTGATCTGTTCTGAATATTTGCCATGGAAATAGCGATAGAGTAGCGACAAGCTTAAAACGTTAAGTTTGTGCGAAGGGGTTTGTAGTTCACCCAGTACAAGGCCCGAGAACCGCTCGAGGTAGAAGGTTAGTTTATATGAATAGGAGAATAAGATAACTGTTAACTTTAGACTTGAAATGGTCAAGACTCTAGTGATCGGAAACATTATCTTGGGAGTCTGTTCCACTGAGTAGTGGCTTACGGGAAGAAGCTGTTTCGGTTGGAACTTTTTTCTCGCCGATGGAATACAGAAGGAATGTGGATGGTTTGGTACTAAGCAAGCGTCATGGCGGGTTCTAGCCGTGACGGTCAGACCAGGCAGAACCAAGGAACCCAGCACTTTCCATGGTAGTGGCGATAGAGCAGTGAGAGGTTCACCATATGGCCGCCTGTGAGAGAGAGGTTGGAAGGTGGAAAATAATTCTTCTCCAACAAGGTTTCGGAGATGCTCTTGAACTCTATCAAGACTGTAAAGTGACGAGCGGGCATTTCCGGCTCCATTAGTAAAAGGCAGAGGACAGCATGAGGTGTCAGGTACTTACTAGTACAGGGAACCAATCATTTTACCTGACACTTTAGCGATGGATCGTATATAAGTGTTCCACTTGTGAAAACACACAGACATATATATATATATATATATATATATATATATATATATATGTTCGTTTTCTTTTATATGTTAGTTTTATGGATACAGCAACTTATTTGAGTAGATGCTCTGTTTTAATTAAACAGTATTAATTAGATTTCCCGGCCTGAATATTCGAGAAATTTCGTAGAAAATATGCGTTCTCCGACAAGAATTGAACCTGTAGTCCATAAGAAAACCGTCATATAGCTTGACGTGTCGTTAACCATTCAACCACAGAGAACTTTCCGGTGAGCAAAGTTCAACTTACTTATAAACACACATTTTCGAAATCTTTCTCGATAATGCATTTCTATTCCGAAACGTAAACAATGACAACATATTAGATAAAATGCCTTAAAATCTTTCTCGGATTTAATCCATTTCATCTAATATATATATATATATATATATATATATATATAAATTTGGGGAGAGAGAGAGAGAGAATTATTTTAAGTCCTGAATTTGAAAACCTTGCAGCAAAACAGCGTGGCTATAATATGGCAGTGCTGATGCCACCGGGATCGAATGTGTATGATCGTAATGTTAAAGAACTTTTTTTTGATTAGGCAATTCTGAGGATACGCTCTTAATTCGTCCTTCATCCTCTCTGCTTCCATACAAAACAACTCGAACACCCCCACCCCGCTCCGAACTTCACTATTTTACTCCGCATGTACTGGCGAGAGACTCTTCATCCCTTTGCATCAGTACATGACATAAAGAGATTCTCTTTACGAATGATCACACTGTTGTTATTTTCATCATTCTGATCGCCTTTTTTTTCCTAAGCCTTTCTTGAGATCTTGCGGGGGTCGTTTTCGGGGTCTTTTTTTTTTTCATTTTTATCTTCCATTTTTATTTTCCCTGATTTCCAATTTCTGATTTTTACTCTTTGAATTCCTTTCTCTTCTGTTTATCTTCACAGTTTACTTAGAATTTCACAAGTGAGAGTAAATGACAAACGATAGATAGATAGATAGATAGATAGATAATATATAATATGATGAGACTGGGATAGATAGATAGATAGATAGATAGATAGATAGATAATATGATGAGACTGGGATAGATAGATAGATAGATAGATAGATAGATAGATAGATAGATAGATAGATAGATAGATAATATGATGAGATCGGGATAGATAGATAGATAGATAGATAGATAGATAGATAGATAGATATGATATTATATGATATTATATGACGAGACAGAGATAGATAGATAGATAGATAGATAGATAGATAGATAGATATGATATGATATATTATATAACGAGACTGGGATAGATAGATAGATAGATAGATAGATAGATAGATAGATACTCACCCACTCACGGTTATTTGGATTTTTTCTGTTTAATCGTCTAAATACCCTTCATTCTACTAACAAGAGGAACCAATTCAACCCGGGTTTGATACAAAAATCCACTCACAATTATCGGCACGAAAACTCGAAAGATGAAAAAGAGACTAAAGAAAATCTCCAACGGAAAAATTGCGCCGACAAATTTGACGTCATCTGCGCAACGCAAACGACGAATCAGACGTGGCGAGATCCACGTTCGAAGCGCCAACGATGTGTTTCGCAGGTTCCATGAAGTCTTTATCGACGTCTCATTATTTACCGCCATTTTTTTTTTCATTGTAATTTTCCTATCTTCTGCCTCTTATTTATTCGTTGAACAATTCTGAAAGGATGCATTTTTTTTTATTTCATTTTCTTTTTACTTTTATGATGGGAGTGAAATTTATTTATTTTTTCACGTTGATTGGGTCGTTTTTATGTTTCTCAGTTTGCCTCACGCTTTCTGTTTACCAAACAAGAGAGCCAAAGGTCTTGTCCCATCATTTAAAGTGATTTGGACACTGATTGGTAAGTGCTCTGATTCTAGATTTAACACTAAATTTCAGGATGTAATGTAATGTCGGTTAATGTGAGAAAAATTCCCTATTTCGTTCATTTTGTTTCCTTTTTCTGTTTACTTCTCATTCTTTCTGTCAATCATTCAGTGGTATTGTTCTCACTTTCTTGAATTCATAAATTAGTTCTCTTTTTCTTTCTCAGTCTATCTATCTATCTATCTATCTATCTATCTATCTATCTATATATATATATATATATATATATATAAGATTCTTCCTGCAAAATAACGGTTCTTAGGCAAGCAGTATTTGGAAGTGAAGTGCTCAGTATCAATAAATAGAACAGTAACAGTAAATACACTAAAATAAAATATTAAAATTTACCTTCCTCTATAAGAGTTTCACGTAAATGCTACCTGCTTATTGAATTTATATCTTAATAAGACGGATTTTATTTATATATATATATATATATATATATATATATATATATATATATATATATATATATATATAAGATATTGAGTTTTTATTATTTTTGTGTTTTTCTTTGTCACGTGGTTATTTTTTTGTTTATGCTATATTATTTTCCATTATTTTCATTTTCGGCCAGCATTGCCCTGACGATCCGTTTAAGTGAAACCTAGGTAGGTTTACCTGGCTCATTAAGATTATCTTAGGTTTGCTCTACTCGTGTATTGAGCACTTTACTTTTACTCAGAATCTGTCTATATTTCTGAGATGAAGTATTATGTACATTATTCGGACTATTGTCCTCATCTTTTTCGTCATCGTTTCGGCCGTTGTATGCTCCGGCCTTCTTCAGGTGCCATGTTTGATGGATGTCAGTTATCAGTTAATTTCCCTCTGAAAGTTCTCCACTCACACTCTTTGTCACTGGATCTAACCAACGCCTTTATCCACTGTGCCATGTGTCCTTGAGAACATATGGCTATGAATTTCTGGGTATTATTAACCTAATGTCTTCAGCAACCATTTTTACCAGTGCTCATATTGCAATTTTTCTGTTATCATTGCATCTTTTTACCAGAGTTCACATTGCAGCTATGTTGTTATCATTGCTTTTCTCTGGCACTCTTTATTACTGGTTCCCATATTGTATTTATCTCTATGCTTGGTCGGCTCAGGAGATTTTTGTGGCCTAGCATATGTGCTGATTCCTTAAGTTTACGAATTTTCCAATGGTGTTCCTTGTCAATGATCTCAACATGATCCCACAGAGGGCGGTGATCTCCCTTCTCTCTCCATATGTGGTCAGCCACGCCTGATTTTTCTACTTCCCCTCGCGTTACAGCTTTCTGGTGTTCTTGAAGCCTTACCTTAAGGGGGCGGCCTGTCTCTCCTTTATATTCCTTTCCGCAGCTGCACGGGATAGCGTACACACAGTCTTTCGTCATGTTCTCCTCTATGGGGGGGGTCTTACTCGGGAGAGATATCTGCGAAGTGTCGTCAAGCTTTTGAAGCTTGTCCTGATGTTATATGGACCGCAAAATGTAAAATGGCATTAAATATTATATGAACTTTCATATTTTCTTACTTTATTTTTAATAAATTTTGTTGAGTGTTGATTGGTTGATATTACTATAGAGAGCATATAGAATTTGAAGGTTTTGCTTATTTCCGTGGCGTAGTATATTAATGTTTATTACGAATATAGAAAGTGTTTAGTAGAACTAACGCGAGAATATGCGAGATCGGAAGGATACTATTTATTTTCGCCAGGTTATTTAGTCATTTGATCTTGTTGTAGAAATATTGCACGTTTTCTAACACACTGGAATTGGAGTTCTTCAAATTACCTGATATTGAATCGTAATATTGAAACTGTTAACTGTTTTATCGGTCCAAGAAATCCTGAATGTTTGGCGAGGACTCCAGTACGAAAATATTTCAAGCTTCATCAGGAGTACGACAAGGAAGAAATAAGTCTAATCTTTTCTTAGACTATGACCTGCGATTTTACAAACACCGATGTGGACAGTAGGGCAGTGATTATTTAAATATTCTATACCACATCCCAAACAAATTTACCAATAGAAGATCCATCTTTCCTTCTCGAGATCAATGTATTGATGACGAGATGGACTAATCTGATGACATAGTTGTTCATATTTGGGATAAGAATAATTTTGAATAGAAGATCAGCATCCTTTACCAAGTGTTCAGATCTCAAGTTAAATCTTTCCAAAGCAGAAACTACTTTCTGAAGTGGGAATGAAAGCACTGATAGAACGTATGCTGAATCATTCATAAAAATTCAAGAGATGGAATTAGTAAATACTAAACACTTCAGATACCTCATCGTATGGATCAGCTATGAGATATTTAGTATAGGAGAAAGGGAAATTGAACCTAAAATAGGCTACGCGAGGCGTGGTTTCGCCTAACACCGCAAATTGCTACACAACAAAAAACATTAATCTGAAAACTCGAGTCATGTTCTTAAATAACCACGTCAGAACGAGGCTTTCACAAAGATGTCATGAATGACACAAAACTCGTTCAGAAATATCTAAACTGTCAGGTGTAGACAACCGCTTTCTAAGATCAAAGGTTAAAAATGGCCTAAATCATGTGAAGCCTGTGTCTCTTGGCAAAGACCATCCTTCAATGGATATTGTGAATAGGCGCTATAGAACCACAAACAAAGAACTGTACCAAGTAACAGAAACCACATCACTTGGGTAATACCAATCGTCGCGACAACTAAAATGGATAGGACACGTTGCTTGAAGGGAAAAAATTGACATAATCAAGATGTTGATTTACCACACAACTTCAAGCAAAAAGTTAGGAAGGAAACACACATCAATACTGGAAAGATCGATAACAGCTACTGCACTTGAAAAACTTATTTTCTTGGTTTGGTTTGGTTTGTTTTACGGCATAAAATGGGTTATTTAATGCCGGTAAGTTTTTTTTTTGTTTGTTTTTTTTTTTAGAATAGGTTTATATGAATAGGTTCGTATGAATACAATACGTATTGTTTGTAAGAAATCAGTTATAAATCAAGATTCATTGGCGTATTTTTGTATATTTTTTTTTTTATTTTATTATTTTTTTTTTATTTTTTTGTCAGGAGTCAAATGTATTTTCGGTAATATTCTTTATTTATTTATTTTTTTTTTTGTTTTGAAAAACATATTGCTGGTATTTTTATTATAAAAATGTATTTTCATACCATCATAATGTTTTGACCCCAGTTTGGGGGTTAACTGCTTGCTCATAGATGGGACCCTAACAGGTCCTGCCACCCCGGGTCCGGGTGAATCTGGTAACAACAGCATTGAAGAGGTGGTTCCATGCGCCTCAAAACCTCTCGATCAGAAGCCTTGCTGAGGGGTTTAGTTTATCGTAATAAATTGTTTTAAGTACTGGATGTGCGACCAACCAATACCAAATGTTTCCTTGTAGGGAAACGGTTAATATTACCATTACCATTAGCAATAAATGAGTCGGAATACCTTGGGTGAATAATCAGTACAGTCAGCCTCGACACACTCCACAAGGATAGATTTTAAAAATGGCTTACTCGTCATAACCATACGTAAGTTATGTCGATGTATTTCTGTGGCTATGGCTATAGTAATGTAGGAGTGTTCTATCTGAATTTGTCAGCAAACGAACTGAATCAACCAGACAGCGAACGACTCGATCTCTTTGCTTTTTCGTTAATGTCAGATGTAAACCTAAATGAAATATTTACTATGTGGTGGGCGTTATTAGGTGGAGCATCAATGAAAATAATTTCCCTACAAGCCACTCCATACTCCGCCTCTGATCTCACTGATCTCTCGAAACTGACAAATTAAAATTGAAATCATTTTTGAGTGAAAACTTTTTATGGTCCACTAACTCCGAGCTACCGATAAAGAAAGAGATAGAAAGATCATATATTTAAGGAAAATGAAATAATTATATATATATATGTGAAAAGTGTATATAAATATAAATAAATATATATATGTATAATTATTTATATATTATATGCGCGGTACTTATTAGAAAGCGCTCAATATCAGAGATAGAGCTAACATATTTGGTTGGATAGATGTGAGTTTGGACGATCGCTAAAGCGTGAAACCCAGGGTCACAAACTCACATCTATCAACCAAATATATATATATATATATATATATATATATATATATATATATATATATATATATATATATATATATAATTGTGTATTGAGGCAGCAATCCCTCTTTTATACAAGTTTCATTAAGGACGACTGACAGATTACTAAAGTTAAGCTTTTTTTTCTTTATTCTATTCTATTAGCCCTTAAGGAAGATAATTACACACTTTATGTCCTGAAAAGTAAATAGTTGTATGAATGCAAGACAAATGAATAATAATAATAATAATAATAATAATAATATTTATTTAAATAATAATAAAAAATACATTTATTACTTAAACGTTAATTTTAGTAGATATTTTCATTTAAGTAGACACTCCGTTTATTTATTAAAGAGTATATTTATTAATTTTCGACTACCTGCCTGGATATTCGAAAAATCATATGTGAGACAATATGCACTCTCCGGCGGGATTCGAACCTGCTTTCCTCTAGGGGAAACCGTCATAGATCTGACGTATATTGATCTTTCGGCTGCATTATGTCTTCGTGACAAAGCGAAGTTGAATAGTACCTTAAAACACGGATCCTACTCTTGAAATAGACATATCTGCTCAGTTTCATATCCTAATGTAAGCAAATCCATTTCTAAAAAAAAAGAGAGGGATTTTTATTTATTGACAGATTTTATTACTTAAATGTTATTTTTATTGGATACCCCCCACCCCAGTATAGGAGGAGACACTCTGTTTATTTAATAAACAGAAAGAATTATTTATTTTTGTCTACCATCCTGAATATTCAAGAAATCTTATTAAAGAAAAACATGAACTCTCTGGCAGGATTTGAACTTGCGTCGCCCCTGGTGGAAATTGTCATTAGAATCCTACATGTGTTAGACCTCTTGGCCACGAAGTGCATCAACGGTTCAGCAATGCTGAATCGTGGCTTAAAACACAGATGTTACCCTGACTCTTGAAATAGATATGTATGATCCATATCCTAACGTAAACTAAGCGAGTTGAAAAGAAAAGGATGGATTTTTTTATTTATTAATCCGACAGATTTTTATTACTGAAACGGTAATTTTTGTGGATATTCGTATTTGAGTAGACGTCCAGTATATTTATCTATTTATTTATTCAGGCCGATAAAACCAAAATAAATAAATATAATGCTTAATAAATAAACAAAATATCTCTTTAAATACGACTATTCACTAAAAATAACGTTTAAGTAATAAAAATATTTGATTAATAAATAAAAAAAGCATCGCTTTTCTTTTATATATATATATATATATATATATATATATATATATATATATATATATATATATATATATATATATATATAGTTAAACCTAGAAACCAGACAAACCTACGAACAAGGTTTCACCTAAACGGATCGTCAGGAAGCCGGTCTTGGTAGGTTTGTCTGGCTCTCTAGGTTTAGATCTGCTCTACTTACTGTATCGAGCACTTTAATTAGTTATTTTGCCTACTCGTATCGGGGGGTTTTTCTTTGGGCTTTTGAACTTGCATGCTGGACGATTATTTTCCGCTAACGTACATGTTCTTGGTTCTTTCTTTTTTTATATACTTTTTTCCCCTTTGGTATTCGTTTGATTATTTGCAAATCAAAACACTGAAGGTTTTCCGAACGAGTATAAATTCTTATACTTATAAGATTACTATATATATATATATATATATATATATATATATATATATATATATATATATATATATATATATATATATATATATATATATTAAAGCCTGAATGTCCGAGAAATTTTCATAGAAATATTCGTCCTTTCAGGCCGGTAAATGTTATTTAATACTGTTTATTATAAACAGAGCATTTACTTAAATACTTGTATCTATAAAAAGAACGTTAAACATAAAAATGTCTTTAAGAAATAAATTATCGGACTTTGTCCATTTCTTTAATATATATATATATATATATATATATATATATATATATATATATATATATATATATATATATATATATGGGGGGATTTAGATCTAGATAGAGAATTTGGAAAGAGAGAGAGATGGAAAGAGTTGAGGCTGAGAAAAGGGCCGGGTTGAAAAAAGTGTAGAAAAGTAAGCTCGACAGATGAGCTGGCAAGAGAAAAAATTGGTAGGGGCAGAACCCTGAACTCTATACTGAGTGGAAAGGAGAGAGAGAATGAACGAGGTCTAGAGAGGGAAGAAAAAGAAAGAGGGAAAGCGGAAGACATCGAAACAGAAAAAAAAGAGAGTGGTAGATATCTCGAAGTAGTACTTGAGTGAGATAGTAGGTGGGGGAGGTGGAAGGTTAGGACTGGAAAACGAGAGAGTGTGAAAATCAACAGGAGAGGTGTAGAGAAAGATCTGGAAAGAGAGGGAGAGTCGAAGACATCTAGACAGGAAAAGAGAGAGAGAGAGAGAGAAAAGGAAAGTATGGCTAGTGAGACTGAATAAAAAGTCAAAAGGAGAATTATAGAGTAACAGCTGGAAAGAGAGAGGAAGACATCTAGACAGGAAAAGAGGGAGAGAGAGAGAGAGAAAAGGAGAGTACGGGAAGTGAGACTGAATAAAAAGTCAAAAGGAGAAGTATAGAGTAACAGCTGGAAAGAGAGAGGAAGACATCTAGACAGAAAAAGAGAGAATGGGATATGTCGAATATGGGAAATGAGAGAGAATAAAAGAAAACACCTGGAAAAAGAAAGTGTGAGTGGAAGACATCTAGACAGGAAAAGAGAGAAAAGGGGAGTATGGAAAATGAGACTGAATAAAAAAAAAAGTGGAGAGAAGAGAAGAGAAAGAGAGAGAGAGAGAGAGAGAGAGAGAGAGAGAGAGAGAGAGAGTGGAAGAAAAGAGAGAAAGGAAGACAACTAGACAGGAAAAGAGAGAAAAGGAGAGTATGGAAAGTGAGACTGAATAAAAAGTTAAAAGAAGTGTAGAGAAACAGCTGGAGAGAGAGAGAGTGGAAGAAAAAGAGAGAGGAAGACAACTAGACAGGAAAAAGGAGACTGAATAAAAAAGTTAAAAAAGTGTAGAGAAACAGCTGGAAGAGAGAGAGAGAGAGAGAGAGAGAGAGTGGAAGAAAGAGAGAAAGGAAGACAACTAGACAGGAAAAGAGAGAAAAGGAGAGTATGGAAAGTGAGACTGAATAAAAAGTTAAAAGAAGTGTAGAGAAACAGCTGGAAAGAGAGAGAGAGAGAGAGAGTGGAAGAAAGAGAGAGAGGAAGACAACTAGACAGGAAAAGTGAGACTGAATAAAAAGTTTAAAGAAGTGTAGAGAAACAGCTGGAAAGAGAGAAAGAGAGAGAGAGAGAGAGAGAGAGAGTGGAAGAAAGAGAGAAAGGAAGACAACTAGACAGGAAAAGAGAGAAAAGGAGAGTATGGAAAGTGAGACTGAATAAAAAGTTAAAAGAAGTGTAGAGAAACAGCTGGAGAGAGAGAGAGAGAGAGAGAGAGAGAGAGTGGAAGAAAGAGAGAGAGGAAGACAACTAGACAGGAAAAGTGAAACTGAATAAAAAGTTAAAAGAAGTGTAGAGAAACAGCTGGAAAGAGGAGAGAGAGAGAGAGAAGAAAGAAGAAAAGAGAAAGGAAGACAACTAGACAGGAAAAGAGAGAAAAGGGAGGTATGGAAAGTGAGACTGAATAAAAAAGTTAAAAAAGAAGTGTAGAGAAACAGCTGGAAGAGAGAGAGAGAGAGAGTGGAAGAAAGAGAGAGAGGAAGACAACTAGACAGAAAAAGTGAGACTGAATAAAAAGTTAAAAGAAGTGTAGAGAAACAGCTGGAAAGAGAGAAAGAGAGAGAGAGAGAGAGAGTGGAAGAAAGAGAGAAAGGAAGACAACTAGACAGGAAAAGAGAGAAAAGGAGAGTATGGAAAGTGAGACTGAATAAAAAGTTAAAAGAAGTGTAGAGAAACAGCTGGAAAGAGAGAGAGAGAGAGAGAGAGAGAGAGAGTGGAAGAAAGAGAGAAAGGAAGACAACTAGACAGGAAAAGTGAAACTGAATAAAAAAGTTAAAAAGTGTAGAGAAACAGCTGGAGAGAGAGTGGAAGAAAGAGAGAAAGGAAGACAACTAGACAGGAAAAGAAAACGTGTGAGAGTTATTGAAATAGTAGATGAGAGAGATAGAGAATTGGGAAAGGTTGAGTGTTTAAGCTGGGAACTGAATATGAATGTCAGTAGCAGAGATATGAGAAACATCTTGAAAGAGAGAGAGAGAGAGAGAGAGAGAGAGAGAGAGGGAGAGAAAGGGAGTGGAAGACATCTAGACGGAAAAAGAAAGAAATAGAGGAGTCGAGTGGGGGATATGAGAGAGTATGAAAGATGTAGAGAGGCGTAGAGAAACATCTGGAACGAGAAAGGGAGAGGAAGAGTGGAAGACATCTAGACAGGAAAATGGAGAGTTGGAATGATGTAGACGTCTCGAGTTAGCATGGGGAGAGTGAAAGAGAAAGAGAGATGTCAATCGGAGATCATACAGAGACTCGAGAAAGCAACAATAATAACAAAAAAAAAAAAAGAAATGAAGATGCAAAAAAAAAAATGTTATGATTCCTGATATGTCAAATCACTTCGTGAGTACAACGAACATGTCGGAACAAAAGAAAGTAAAATCATGAGTTGGGTTTCAAAACTCTTCTGTCGTCGACGTTTCTTTCAAGATTATATTATTTTCGTTTTCATTCTTCTATTTTTTTTCCCAGCTCGGGAATTTGTCAAAATAATCGGAAAAAAAAATAGTAAAAATCATTGCAAAATTTCCAAAAGTTTCGTTTCCATTAAACTTTACATTCTTCAACGTGCGCGAAATTTGAACTCGCCATCGTCACTAAAATCTCCGAAATACTTTAAACTTGTAAATCTGATGTTTTAATTTGTACACTTTTCAAGGTACAAATTAAAACATCAACGAGTCAGAGTACCCTGCTTAGAATCTTTGATATTTACTAGTTTTTGAAAATTATTACGTCATAACAAATGTTCGTTCGTAGCATATATTCTTAAATGCCTATAATTGGTGACAGACGCCATTGCTTTATACCAACAGCTTCTCATACTTAATACTTCTCGTTTTCCCTCTCGCGTGGTCATCCCTGATGTTATGAGCTACAGTGCGGTTTTCGCTTCCAGCGTATTATATGCACGAGTTTGTCGTTGCTTGGAAATCTTCCATGTAAACAGAAACAGACTATCATCACTGTTTTGTCCGTGTATTGCTTAATATATTGTAATGTAATTGTCATCTTTGATAATGGCTTATGTAAGCCGAAAGCTTAGATAGGATTACAAAATATCTACCAAGATTGTGATTTTCTTTCTTCGTTTAATGATAATGTTATTAAGCTTATCAGACTATATGAAAAGAATTTACATTAAATAAATAGACTTGTTTATATTATTTAGTGTGTGTGTGTGTGTGTGTGTGTGTGTGTGTGTGTGTGTGTGTGTGTGTGTGTGTGTGTGCAAATTTATAGAAAAATAGGAAAGAATACGTTAGGTAAAATCCGAAGTTCTTTAGTATTTTTGTTTTTATTTTTAAAAAACCAGTGCACGATACAAAAGTAGAGCCTAAATTACAATTATAATCATTTTGTAAAAATTTGATTCCTTCGCTACTTAAGATTTCTCATGTTTCAAAAACAAGAGCCAAAAACTTCAATATAATTATTATAATTAAATTGGATGAAAGAATCAAGCTCTGTTTTATCCTCATGCGAAATTTTCGGTTTTTGAAACATGAGAACTCTTATGTAGCGAAGGAATCATATTTAAAAAAAATAATTATAATATATATATATATATATATATATATATATATATATATATATATGTATGTATGTATGTATGATAAACAAATAGGAAATGTATATCACATTTATTAAAACTTCGTCAGCGATTGAGGGTAAACAATGGTACTTAAGGAAAATACACGTGACACATGGCTGACCAATGAGGACCGAAATGAAGTTTTGATAGCATTGAAACATGTTAGGTTGATATACTTTTCCTATTAGTACTTTATTTTATCGTCCTGTCGGATACTGACCCATATTTGATCTGCATTTGAACTTTAACATCAGGCAGCTGTCCAAAATGATAAGTTGTGGTGCCGTTACATTCACTTACGCGCAAATACCCTTGTGAAATGAATGCATCCCTCTCTTCCGACTCCAACTATGGGTTAACTGGTAGGACTTGTATCTAAAAGAATCATTCCCCACAATAATTGCTAACGTAATATTAATTACCAAAAAAATGCTTATTCTTACAATTCAAAACATGTTCGGCTTTAAATAACACCACAGAGGGTTGATAAGCTGTAAAAAATCAATCTATTTTATAACATCCCAATGTTTTCTTGAAACATATCAATGTTTTTGAAATATATTAGTATTTTTGTTTATTCAATCTCCCATCACTTTTTGTGAATTTAATCTCCCATCGCTTTCATGATACGAAACAAAGGTCTCTTACTAAAATATTCTCAAAATAAGTTTAGTCCCTCCATTTAAAAAAAAAAAAATTCTGGGCCTTTTTTAAAGTGACAGGCCATACAGCCAACACCCTTAATAAATTCTCAAAAGGCACAAGTAAGTTGCAACCAGCGCTTTTCAATAGGTGTCCAGACTGAAATTTTCCTTGTCTGTTATATTCAACAAAACGTTTAAAAGAAAGGTTGCTACCAAAATATACATTACTATACATACATACATACGTACATATATATATATATATATATATATATATATATATATATATATATATATATATATATATATATATATTTTAACCATTTTGCTCCTCGATAAATTTTCGATCTTGTCAATTGACAAGCTCCAGGGAATTTATCTTGAGAAAAAAATGGCCGTAAAATGTGGTACAATTGAGTTTCATTTTTATTATGTAATTCATATATATATATATATATATATATATATATATATGTTATGTTGTGTGTGTGTATAAAATAATGTGTATATATATATATATATATACACATTATTTTATACACACACACACACATATATATATATATATATATATATATATATATATATATATATATATATAGAGAGAGAGAGAGAGAGAAAGAGAGAGAGAGGGTCCATCAAAAAAATTCTATGCACACTTCAGGAAATGAAAAAAATGGTCTGTCGTAGCTGTATCAAATTGCGATAAAACTGTTTACTGTAGTACGATATTTTCTCAACATTACACTCATGGCTGTAGCATCAACAGAAACTCAACCAAATTGGCGACCCACAAGAAATTGAAAATTCTGGAAAGGATAGATGAAGAATTATCACCAACATGAATGAAATGATAGAATAACCAAAAATCGGGTTCTCCAAGAATGAAAGCCCAGCAAGTTCGGCATTACCAATTTTTCTATGTTGTTTTGTCGAAGAACCGAGATGGTCTATTTCTGGAACGGAGACTAACATAGAAAGAGGTGAATATTTCTTTACGACAATCGAAGAACAAAAAACAAACAAAAAACAAAAAAAAAACAGGGGAACGTGACAAAGCATCGATGCATTTCCTGAAGCTCGAGTTTCTTTGGGAATATACAGCAGTCAGTTGAGTAACATGAAACATTAAGCAAATCGGGTGGCAACAGCATCAGAAGGTTTCAGAGAGAGAATTTATTGACTCCAAAATCAATAAATTCGATTGTATGTTTCAATCAATAATAACTTCATATTGGCAAAATTATACCCCATCAAATGCTAATAAAAGCATACTTTTACTCTTAATTTGTATTATTCCAAAAAGTCAAACACACACACACACACACATACACACACACACACACACACACACACACACAGAGGTATGTGCGTTTATGAATATAAATGCCTAATATATATTTGGTAAGCAACATTTCTTTTTAAACATCTTTCATTAAATATGACAGACAAGGAATATTTTATGGTGGGTGTAACTGAGTAACAAACTGACCATTGTCAGGCCCGAAATGACGATGATACTAAAAGTTTTAAGTAGCATCGTCATTTCCCACCTGATGAAACATTAAACAAATTTTAAGTTGAAACATGATGTACAGTTTTGTAGTGGGTATGTGCATATTCTAATGAAACAGTGCATAATAAATAAATATTTATTATTCTACTTTTGAATTGAGCCCTGTTTTAAATTAATGTTTTGGAGGCTAAAATCTTCGTTCTTTTTTATATATATATATATATATATATATATATATATATATATATATTGATTTTCTCTTCTCCCTCCCATTTCAATATATCACTTCCGTTAAGTTAACCGATTAAATAGGTCATGGTCTGGTCCCTCCTCCCCTAATACTAAGTATGATTGAAAGAAATATTAAAATAGACTCTTTCTAAACTCGACCATGTCTCTCAAACGACTCCTCATTACCATCTCTGTTAAATTACAAAAAACTTACACTACTCATCAAAAGTGTGAATTTTGGAAGTGCTATCTGATGAACCGGCGTCCTTTAAAAGGGCTCTGGTGAAATAAATTATTATAATGGAACCTTAAAGTGTTCTGTTTTTTTTTTCTTTAATATATATATATATATATATATATATATATATATATATATATATATATATATATGTGCGTGTGTGTGTATATGTATGTGTGTGTGTGTAAAAAAGTAAGATATAGAATCCAAAACAAAATTTGAAGAATATGAAGACATTTGATTAGATTATGCGTTTCGTCCTTACTAGAATATATATACACACACACACACACACATATATATATATATATATATATGTATGTATTTCTGTAAAATAATTTTTTTTCTAAATATTTTACAAATCTATTTATATCCCTTAATATATACGTACAGACACCCACACAACCACGCATATACAAATATATATATATATATATATATATATATATATATATATATATATATATATATATATATATATATATATATAAATATTTACTTTTTACTTGTGACGTTTCATCCATTATAACAACATCCATTTAGACAACAAACACAGTCCGATGAAGGTCTAACTGATGAAACGCCTCACGAGTAAACTTTACAATTTTTCTTAGAATTTCCCCAATACTGTTCTTGATATACAAAAAAATTTATATCGTTATCTCATATATATATATATATATATATATATATATATATATATATATATATATATATATATATGTGTGTGTGTGTGTGTGTGTGTGTGTGTGTGTGTAAGTGGTCCGAAAGTTCTTTCTTAAGGAGCTATTTTCTGTATTTTTTTTTTTTTTTTAGTTTCCGATAAAGTTTACATATTGTCTACGTCCTGAGTAGTTTTAGCTTTCATCAAAGAATTTTGCTTTGTGATATATATCAGTTACATCGTTTTTTCTTGTTTCTGCTGAAA